ATTGATAATAATTTGAAAAGGAATCATATTAATAATTTAGTTCATTGCAAATGCAAATTGAAAATCGGAAACGAGAGAGAACCAACTGATTTAATCGCCTCGAAAACACACACAAATTTCCCTCTCACTCTCAACATCAACCGCAACGAACATTTATAAAAGGAAAACGATCGAAATTAGGTTCGTTGTACGGACGTCGTGCGGTGAATGGAATTTATGCCGTATAAAACATCATTTCCAATGATGATTATTATTATGATGTGAAGCGATCGGGAGATCTCATCATGAGTCATGAGAAATGCCCATCGAAAGCGTCTCTTGGTTTTTTTTTTGATTTCTCATTTCCGTACTGCAGCATCTATGGTCACTCAACTCCAAAAACTTGTTAATTTCCGAGTGGAATTTTTGAGCTTTTAAGCTGATTTAGATTTAATGATAAAGAAAATTTCCATGTTTGATGAGATATTCAACATTAAATTAAAGGCCGAACATGAAAGGGATTTGGTGTTACCATAATCTCAACTTTATTATAGTTTCGTCCAGAGCACAAACAACTTATGACTGAATGAAATTCATTAGACGAGTTTCAGCAAATTCTCACTTGCCTCGAATGGAAAATATAATTTTATCTGTTCGGTCGGGTGGGCATAATGACATCATTCACAAAGCTGCACATCTTTTGAGTTTCTTAATAATATGAGGTCATTCGTTATATGCTTCAAGCGCATATAAATTGTTATTTAATTGCCCAAATTTTTCATATAATCGACACTAAAGTCCAATCTAATCAATGGATATATTGATCTTTTTAATCTCGAAAATGGCACAAACTGCAACTGAAAAAAAAACTCTTCATTTTCATTCAAATCATTCTACATTTAGAGTCCATATTTCATTCAGCACCAGGATATTCATTTTGAATTTGAACACTTAATTTTCAATGTGAATTCGAGAACATATATTCAGGAATTTTCACATTTTCTTGTGAAAACAAATGTTTCACTTGCTATCGTAGCTCTTGAAGATTTGATGACATTCCATTTATTATTCGCTTGTGGGTACGAACAATTGTTATGTCAAAAAGCCAAAATTTATGTTTTCAAACATTCGCCAAGTAAAATAAGCAAACAACAAGCTTCAAGGAAGCTAGCTTCGTGGAAACGGTTTGAAATGTTTTCGGAAATAATTTTAAGTGAAACGTCAACTGAAGTGATGCGATGCTGTACAGCAATTAAGCAAGAATGCAAGTCAAAGCGAACGCAACTTCAGCAATGGCATTTAACGAAGCGTAATTTTTATTGGAAAATAATAACATTGCATTTTCGGCATTCCTTAGCATGAAACCATCGCTGCTTCAACATCCGAAAGAGAGTTTCGTTACGAAACATTGACATTCAGTTTGTTAAAATTCCGAATTCTTCTGCCACAACATTAATATTATGTTAAGCATGATTTGGTCGAAATTTCGGATGAAAACTTGGCTTGATTTACTTTATGGAAATTGTCCGTAATTAATATGTTCTCTACTGTGTACAAGTATGACCGTGTATGGGACACATTAAATGGGCAAACACAAAGTATACAAAATATCGTTACTGCAGTAAATTGTAATGACTCATCAAGCATATATATATATATATATATATATCATGTAGATTCCCCTCATTTCCATAGTGAAATGTGAAATATTTCATTATTCTCTCTGGGTTTTTAGTCAAATTTATCGAATAATTTGATTAGCAGTTGAAATTGAATGAAATATGAAATTGTTCGTCATATTGAGTTGATAGCGTTGTGTGTAACCACATGAAAGTACGTTTTGTTGACAGGTATCAAAACACATAAGCCGAGAGCCACTTATATTGTATCGTTATAAAAGCTACCAATTCGAGGACTTTCATTTCCACACAAATAAATTTGATTCGTGATTAAAATGCTATTGAAATGAGATTCCAATTTGATTGTGCAATGTGGATCCTCATTTTGTATACATTTGCATTCGCTATCGCACAAACGTATTTTGCAAAATGATTCGTTAGGTAATAACTTTTCCATGAATATTTGAATACTAACCTCTCCCTGTGTAGTTTGTGTCAAAGTGAATGCGATGTGAATTGCGTTTGTGCATTTTTGATGACTGGATGACTGAAAATGACACGACGAAGCAATTACACGACGCATTAAACGCGAATGAACGAATGCAATGCCATGAAAAGTAAAATGCATATCTGCATCAACACAGTAAATTTAGTATTATTGCAAATACAGTGTACGCGCGCCGGTGTGAATGAAGACGAAACATATGCTGTGTGTGTGAAACATAAACGAAACGAAAAACATATACTTTTTTTATGCACAATCACCTTTTATTTGCGTTGTGTACTTTATTGTTTCGACGGTATTCATAAATTAGCAAATAGTACAGCAACGGGTTTATTGTTTGTGTTGCTGTTCGTCTTGAGCATCTTCATTGCGATTTTGGCATAAATCTCATGCAAAATGAATGGAATCGATGGAGATTGTGCATCACGCGTCGGCGAAACGTTGAAAAACAACAACACCAACACCAACATTGATTTGCTAATCAAGTTATTGCTTCGTCCGCGTGCTCGTTTCCGACAAAGAACGTAGTCGAATCGCGCGGATTGGAAGCCGGCAACCGTAGTAAGTGCAATTCTTATTTAGTACAATTTCAATGTGATCGTATAATATCCGACGCCTGCATCAGTGAAAACTGTAAATTGCACAACACTTTGACTGACTGGTCGATGTGTGTGTGTGTGTGACGCAGTGACCGAAGCGATTGTAGAGTAACCACTTGGCAATCGCACCAAACAATCCAAATACACAACCATGTTCGCAATTGTCTCGAGTTGATGATGTGCTCTATGATTTCAAACCACATAAATAACATACACACATTCACCCGTTCGCATATCGCAACCGGAGATGTGCGCAATGCGCATACTTGATGTGATTGCATCGCAGAAATGTAAACAAACATCAAAACAGAGACCGAGTGGAAAAGAGCGATGCGCTGGCTGAAAAACCGAAGATGAAGAAGCGAGAGCCACCAAAGTGAATGGTGAAGAGGAAGAGACACAGCGAATGGGCGAGAAATAGATAGATGCATCGGTAGCAGCCAAGGTATAAATGGACTGAATAACGAATGATAACAACATGCGGTGCATGGAAATAAACAACTGGCGCGCAGAGCGACGTGATCATGTCACGGCAATGCATTTTATGCTGTGAGGTCTTTTTCGCTCGCTCTCTCTCTCTCTCTCTCTCTCACTTCTTTTGTTCGCAATACACACCGACCATTTAGAATTTGTGGCAGGCATTCGAAATGGCTTTTGCACATGCAATGTGTTCAAGATGTGCAAATTATTCCGTTTATATTTCTATTCAGTTGATTGCAACAATTTTCATTTCGAATTGCTTTCGTTTGCCACATTCCACATTTACACGCCACTACTCCAAATATTTTATCAGCCAAATCAAATATTACACGTAATTTTTTTTTCAATTTAATGAATGATTCACTTCCGATTTGGCATTAAATGAAATTTCAGATTTTGAGAGAAATGTCTTGGGGTACTTCATACGATGTAGCAATCGTGACGTATTCGTCACGTGATTCATTGTTATGTCGGTTTCGGTGACGTTTGAAATGCAATTGTAATCGTGCCATTTTCCATATGAGAGACGACGTGTGTTGCATACCGTGTAATCGTAACGCGCGCGCTCACTCAAAATGCATGAGATAATGTTTTTCCCTTTACTTTCTAATTTCGTTTAACATTTTATTTGTCAAGTAAAACTTCAATTTCCTTTTCAATCGTTCTCTGTGTAATTATCCACCATTTTGATGCATTTCTCATTGTGAGCACCACATTTTTAAATACGACTAAATTGTAAGATACATATAAAATATGTTGTAAGTTTTTTGTTCGTTTGTTCCTCTATCGCTACAGAATAAAAGTCAATGGAATTGCAATGGCTGGTACAATTGCTACCAAGACACCAGTCAGGTGAATTCATGGTTAAGCGACGCTTAATAATAAAAGATAGAATTACGTCCGGATGCAGGAAAAAAATTAGCAGCACTATATGCCGGCACCGACAAGAACCGTTTCGCATTAAATATTTAAAATGACGGAAAACGTTGCCTGGCGGCAGCCACACAGCACAGTTTTTGGTTCAGTTCATATTTCACTACCGTTTGTATTGTTATCATTACGACTGTCGTTTTTATGGCTTTCGCCATTATCGTGGATTATGGAATATGTACACCTTTTTTCTGTCTTCTATCTATCGCTTTTTCTCTCTCTTTCTCTATTCTTCACAATCATTTTTTTTCTTTCTCTCACACCACCTCTATCTCTCTTTCAGACTATCCTTGTCTCTTTTTCCCTCTCTCTCTCTCTCTCTCTCTCTCTCTCTCTCTCTCTTTCGCGCAGCACAATTATGAGCCATGAATTTCATTGCTCGATGCCATTTGCTCAATTTTACTCGCTGTTGATCCAAAGCGGAATGGAATTGGCATTCTGTTTAATAGTTTTCTGTTGCACGGTAATCCCCTGATTGAAAGTAATCGAGACTTTTACCGGTTCGTATTTATCTATTTTATGTGTACTATTGTGAGAAATTGTTTGTCATGTCTAGCCGTCGTCATTAAACTGTACGTAATCAGCTGGAAACGGTAATGCGCTTATGATTTTGAGCCACTTTGTTCGAACAATTTCACATCTTGCAGCCGATTTTGGTAGCATGAGATTGACATTGATAGCACGTTGCTATTGGCAACAGACAATAAGAGAACGGGAGCTATAGTGCGAGTGAAAGTGAATGGAAGTAAGATAGTAAGATAAATAGAGCCAAAGAACAAGATTAAAAACAACAAAATTGAAAAACAAAGTCATTTTCTGCTAAGCATCAAGTCGATTTTCCACAATAAATTCTTTCAAATCAAAAAGCGATTTTCCACATGAACTTACATTTGATTTCTTGTGTCGGGAATGGCTCGATTGCTGGGTAATTGGTCGCTAGCTTGTTGATTGAACCGATTTCGCTGGTATGGGTCTTCACCGGTTCGCAATCCGCCACGCTGTATATATCCGGCTTCATCGAAGTAATCGAACGTTAGTCGCGGAGATGTGTCGCCGATTAAAAATCCTAATTGTACACCGGTACCGCTACTGTGCTGTGCCGGTGACGTCGATGCCGACACTTCATCTAAGTATTGTGGTGCGGTCGCTGTTTCGCGTAAACGAAGCGCTCGATTTTCATTCTGTGAATTGAAAGAGATTGGAAAAAACGAGATAAATTAATAAGCTTTTATTTCCATGCGGATTTTCATTTCAATTTTAATCAATTTAATGGTTTTCGACTGTTTTTGCAGTCGTTTACATTCTTTCACATTTTTTGTAGTCGAACAAATTCAGATTTTGCATTTTTTTTATTCATTTTTTTAACAAAAAAAACATATTTTTGCCTGTTTTTTTTTTACTTTCTATTGATTTTTCGTATCATTTCTGGCATTTTTGCTCTTATCTATAATTATTGGAAGTTCATCCCCGTTTTTGTCGATATTTTTCATGGTTTTGCATAAATTACATGATAATATTTTAATCAATTAATTATTTGGCTCTGTGGTATAATCAGCTTACAAGTGTATATCAATTAAATGATGTTGGAGATTTTCATCATTTTGACAGGGGCAAAAATGAGCGTTTTTCTCTGCTGCAATTGTGATGAGCTTAATTTAAAAGATTTGCATAAATAAATGGTCAAATCAATAGCATAGCAACCAATTAAATTTAATGAGCTTTAAATGGACAAAAAAATGTGTCCTCCAATCCGGTGTCATTTTTTTTTGGCTCATTGTTTGTTTATCGCTTGATAATTTTACGTTTATTTCATTCCATTCGAGTGTTCACTGTTGAGCTGTTCAATTCAACAAAACAACAACAATTACTTCAATTGCTATGCCGGCAAACGGCAAACATTACAAGTTGTTGTGCTTCTTTATTTCAGCTGTGCATTTCAATTCGCGCGGCTTTTTTGCTCCCTCATCTTATGTAGTGAATTGGGAGTTGTGCGAATGAGCGACTTGGATAATGATGGTGCAAAGTTGTTGAAGTAAAACCAATTTATCATTTCAATGGGGTTTATTGTTGCTCAGCAACAGTTTCTCCAACGAACGAAGAGAGCTGTCCTTTGGGATAGCAAAAAAATTGGTTTTTGTTTTCATGTTGATGTTTTTTCTCGGCCGAAACAAGGTGAGTCGATGATTTAATGAGAAACAGAGCGCGCACGCAAACGATAGACAAATCAAAACTTCACCGCGTTTTTTTCTCCCTCTCGTTCGTCTCTATTTGATTCAAATTCAATTGAAACGAAAACTTTGCGCAAATTCCAGCGAGATAGACAATGAGATCAGATATCAAATGGATAGAAGAGAATTTTTTTCATTGAATCGCTGTTCTTCGTAGCATCATTAAAATTCTGTGAAATAAAAGATTATATGACGCATATCAAATGATAAATGCTCTCTTTATTCCACCATTTGAATAAGTGTTCCATATGTATAACAGACACTTCATCCATCCTATAACTCAAGTGAAGGAAATGAAATAATGTTTCTGCATTGAATGAGCTCGAAACTCTGAATCAAAAAGCCCGAAAAAAAATCGGTGAGTAAATGAATGAGGTAACATTATGTTTCACTAATTAAATTATGTTATCTTTTAGTGCCAAACATTCGGTGAACGAAAACATGATTCACATTCGAAGCAAACAACACACACACACACAACCACCCACCAACATACCTTCATTCTTTATTCAGTCAGCAGATAATAGAACATTTACACACTTACAGTGAGAATTGGGACATGTGCTTGGAATCGCAATCGTCGGTGCTTGGGGTTTTTCGTTTGTTCAACAAATTAACCACACGTTGAACGATGAGACGCGAACGCGCGCTAAAGACACTAACTCTCGGAAAGACAGAGTGAGAGATAGATGGGAGAATAAACCGAAAGATAGGTAGAGAGAATGAGGAACGTGAAGAGCATCGACGTTTCTGACGGATGAAACGCCTTTCTAGCTAGCTAGCTATTATACTTGAATGAGCTATTGAGAATATTTGCGATTCGCATCGAACATTGTTTCAAAATGAATTTTCGGATCTCAATCAATAATTTGGCAGCTGTAGAAAACGACTTACGATAAATGTGCCATGATTGAGGATTGGCCGCACATTTGCCAAAGGTGTTGTGTAAGCCATGCGAACAGTGTATGAATTGACTCGTAATTTATTCAATCAATGAAATAAATATGTGAATTATGAGGCAATACAGCACATCAACTTCCATATAATGAGAGATGGAGAGAGGGGAGAAAATATGCGAGAGAGAGAATGAGAATATATAAGGGCCCCGTCGATTGTTTTCTGTTAATCGATTGGGCGATATGGTGTTCAAAAGTGTTTCGATCAAGAGAAATATGGGTGCATCCACTTGACGTCGGTAATCATAAAATAATTGAAACAAAGCGCAATAACCGCACGCAACTAAAGCCACCACCGTTACCACCAACAAGAGCTCAACAGTTCAATGCTTAAGCCAATAAATGCCGGTACGTGATGGATGAAATAGTGAAATATTTGAGCGCGATCCCAAACAGATGACGACGACTATCGTTAGTCCCTTCGAAATGCCAAACACAATATTTTACATTGGTCTCGGAACAGCAACACGATTACGATGAGAAGTGAACTTACACACACACCCCGCCACTTGAATTCCGATAACAACAAACTTGGAATCAGTAATAGGACGACGTGTTCGTGTTCTTTTTTTCCCTTACAACAAGCTCGTTAGCTTGCCCGAGGTTCGGCTCGAGAAAACCTGTTTGTAATTCACAAGATGGATAGAGGATGGTTGTGGGTTTTATGCTAATTTCTCAGGTGGTTTTCCCTGTTATTTATACAAAACTCATATGACACCAATGTATTTTGATCCTATCAAACTTTCTACGTACATTTTCGAAGCATAACCATGAATTTGAAACACACTTCAGACAACTACTCAGTCGTTGGTTTTTCTCTCTCACACACACACACACAGTGCTCCTGTACTACGAGCTGTTTTCAATTTTACATTATTCCAGATTGTGGTTATTTGTAGTTTATTTGAGAAAATTCAGCTTCGGTGCTCACTCCTTCGTTCGCTCGCCAACATCGAGTGTCGTAAGTTAACGAGTGATAAACGAACCATAAATATTGAATCGAAATGTGAACCAAAAATGTTCCCAATGTTTTTAATTAAAACGCCAAAGTAAATTCCAATTCGGAGAATGAGAGCAAGGAAAAACGAACCTGAAATTAAATCAGTTGGGATGTAAATCATCACCGCAAATATGTAACTTAAAAACGAATGGGAAAATGAGATGCAGCTCGACTCCATTGCGGTTTTCATGACAGAAATGTGCTCCACTTCACGTGTGGTGGAAGGAAGGTCTTGATGTATGCAAATGAAATGAATTCCAAGCGAAAAATTCTCGTTGAGAAATTTCGACTTATCGAATCGAATTCGACCTTTATGCGTTGAACAACCATTTCGACTGCTTTCTCCATTGATTCCGACCAGAGAGGAGGTACAACGGGAGAGAAGAGCGAAGCAAAAGGTACAGCAGCACACAGTGTAAAAAGCACTTTGAGCTAGGTACCAAAAAAGCAATAGAAAACAAATGACTGCTGGCAACATGGGAAAACTTCGGAAATTTTCAATTTAGCACATCTCGAGACTTTTGGTCTTCGGTTTTTCAGGCGGTGGTGCGCTTTGTCAATATACACGCACAAAATGCTATGGTGTTGTTTTATGGGAATGTATGTGTAGTATGGTATGGCATGGTGTGATTCAGGGCTTAAGAATCGCACAGAGTAAACCCTGTGAGTAGTGCAATGCATCAAAATATCGTGTGCGCTACACGCACACGAATGGATGACGAACAGTTCATAAGTTCTCAAATAGAAATGAGTTTACCACTGTAGCAGACACGCAGAGTAAAAAAACATGTTTGTGCCTGTATTTCGGCTATGTTGAACATACTACTACTTCTTCTTCTTCTTTTTTTCTTCGACCGACAGAGATCCGCACAAAGCAGAGGAGAAGTAAGTGCGCGGTGTGCGCACTCAACTCAGTTTTGTGAGAAGAGCATCACACACGAGCGCTGTAGCTCTCACTGAAATGAGTTGTACTGTGAACTGAGTGTGCGATTCTTAAGCCCTGGTGTGATGTGATGTGGCTTGACGGTACATTACGTTACGTTTGGTTGAGTTTTGCATTTTGATACTTATTACTTACAGACGGTGGTCGTTATGCGAACCACATCACATTGAGAATACATCATCATTTTTCCAATTCATTCTCATTCGCATGCTCTTATATCCACTTTTTGCTAGTTGTTTACAATCATTTCGGAATCAGGCAAAAGCGGTTGGCATTGTTTGAGACATTTGTTCAGATCGACACCAATGAGAGGGAAAAAAATCCCATTTCTTGTTGAAGAAAATCTCATTTTCGCAAAAGATGTTTACAAGTTTTCCCGAAGACGAATTAAAATTGAAGCATAGAGACGAACTTTGGGTAACTTAATCCTTTTCATTTCCACTCCATTCATTTTGATCTACTTCACATTCTTATACAGCTACTCCCTCCAGTCATCGCCTTTCTTCTTTTCTCACTATTTTTTTTCGGTGTTTGTTTTTGGCTCGAATGAGTAAGGCTGTTCGAAAAGTTCAACATGAGACTTTGTATGGGTGCATTTGTTGTGGCTGATGGAGGATAGGTATAGTATTGGCCACATGAATTCAATCGTTTTTTTTAATTAACTCCATAAAATACCAAAGTGCACAAACATCATCTCCAATAGTTTGAGCAATAAAACTCGAAAACACACACAAAAGAAGACGAAAAGAAAAATGGCCTGAAAACTTTTCATCAGCCCAATTTATTGTACACCGAAGCAAAATCAAACGCAATAGTGGCATGGCAAAAAGTTGAAAACAAAACTTATAACATAATTGCGAAGGATTTAATCGCGTTAAATGTTTTTTTCTCTCGAGAAAAGCGCATTAAGAACGAAGCACATTCTCCTACGTTTTCACCCTCTGTGTGTTTCTTGTTCGCTCTTTCTCTGTTCTCCTCTTTCTTCCTTTCTATCTCTCAAACAAACTTTCGAAAAGAGATATTTTCATCTTTGTGTTTCTAACGCAATAAAATC